CGCGGTCGCAATATCGCTCCTGTCCCACGAGGTGCAAAATGCCAAAACATGCGATGTCGTCAACGTGTTAAGTGCACCCTCGTTGGCTCCTATGTCAGCAACAGGCACCTGCGCTGACATTCATAACAGCAGTTACTGACGGGGAAGTATTCTGATCTCTATTACAATATCTCCCAAAGAAGAAGCAGCAGAAATCGGGAGGTGAACCTGGCACCATCTTAGGACTAATTACGCCGTTTCTGGGGCGCTGTCGTCCGTCGAAACACCACACACTGAGCCTTCCGGCAGCTTGAGGCTCCCACTCCTACCTCACTGCAGGATCTGATTCTGGCACTACCTCAAAATTTTTGGCCTTAGTCTCAATTTATCTCAATCTCAAACCCAGATTCTATCGAAGCTTCCGCGAGACGGGTATCCTGAATAGAGGCAAATACTAGCAAGTTCGAGACTTTCGGCCGAGATCTCCCAAGAACAACCAAAACAAGTAAATAATGGATAATGTCGAGCCAGTAAGGCCCGCTGATGGCATAAATAAGCCACTCGTTGATGAAGAAAAGTCAACCAACTTCACGAACATGTGGAAAATACGATATACTAAGATTCACAAACCTTTCAGAGAGCTTCTTGTGAAATTCTGGTAGTCGCCAAGTTTGCCATATGTTGCCGCGACGGTGGCCATCGGGTGGTCCCTATAAAACGAGAATAAAGTCGGGCGAGCACTCGATGACATCTGGGCATCAACGAAATTCCCTTCGCATCCCAATGTCATTCGGCAAATGGATCTAAACCGACGAGGTCATAGAAAAACTGGATTAGCCTCATACCCAATTATGTCAAACGAACACACTGCCCTGCTTCGTACCCATAGAAAACAACCGCTGACTTAAGGGACCATGCCAACTGTGTGGGTGGCAGCATTGAAATATTAGTGGTTGCAAATTAAGTGCTAGTTAGTTAGTACGAGGAAAGGCCACTAAAAAGTTCTCGGAATCGTGGAAGACTTTTAAAGGGTGATTCCATCAAGCTAATTCCGTCAAATAGTGCAAAGGAATATTTCTCATGGAAGAGAATGTTTAGAAAAAAGGATTGGTATGTCTGCAGAAAGTTGCTGTCCACGGATGTTGCGTCGATAACCCTTCTTCTCCTGCTTGAAGAAAAGATTGACCAAGAAATAAGGAATCAGCTTAGAAAGGTTCCTGATCAGCAGGCGTATTTTGTGGCGAGATTTTTTTAGCGGACACAACCCCAATCGTCCGTATTTGTAAATTAAATGCAATGCACTATTGAGATATTGCGTACACAGGATCATTTTCATGGAATCCTCACGAACAGTCAATAAGGAGCGTGGATGACCGCCAGATTCCTCGGATCTGATCATTCCTCAATAACGGGTTACATTGCTATATATACTCCCTTAAAAAAACGAGAAGAGCGTCGGGTGCAGACCATACACCACAAGTGACGACGGCCTCAAAAATGTAATGTTTTCTGCCAATGAAATGATTAGCCTGTTGCAGTTGTCACTAATTACAACTATCATTTACCAAAAATCAGCTATCACTATGAACCACTACTAACCAGATTTACTTGGAGGCCGTCGTCACTTGTGGTGTATGGTCTGCACCCGACGCTTTTCTCGTTTCTTGAAGGATTGGGGGAGCTGTTTATGTGTCAGCACATGTGCAGGGATATCAGTATTGCTTACACGAATGTTCTCCCAGGTAGGGCAAATAATATTGAGCAGAGTATAGGCTTACTCCAAAGCTCTTCTTTAGGAACCTCTTTACATGGGATTTGACCTGCCCATCTTTGAAAAATAGTTCCAATCTTTAATTGCTTTCGAATTCATTGCACCCCGCCTTGGACATGATAGAAAGGAACTGCAGTCAGTCATATTTGCATGAAATGACCCCAATTTTTCTGTTGTAAATTTGTCTAGCCCACTTCCACGGAAATATCTGAAGAAGGAGTGAAGCGGAACAAACGCGACACCCTCACAGCGAAACTTCATCACTCGTTTAGGTCGGATGCGAAAAGTGAAAATGGTGGCTGGCTCTTGAAAGGACGGAAATAAGCACGCACCGTGAAGCGACCAAAGAGCCTCTAACCGTGGCACCCGCCCAAATGAATGGACGATACTATGTGTTAAGAGCTGATTATTAGCCGATTTGAGCAGGGGGAGGATGTTAGAGAAGGAATGACCTCAAAAAATAACTCGATCAAGATCATCGATTCGCTGACGTTTATACAAGCTCGCTACTATACGGAACATTACGACATGATTAAGTGCTTGGTGGGATCGCAACCACCTGCTCAACGTCGTCGATCGCGGTGCCTCTCCACAAACCGGCAGCGCGCGCACTCCATTTTGCGAACAATTACTCAATTAACTCTCTTCAGGCGTGAGGACCTTTACTGGCCATTGGGGGTGCATGAAGAAGTGTGTTCGTATTATGCGCTTGACGAACGCCCGGTCAATAATTGACTCGATATTCTCGAAAAGACCTCCCACAAGCATTCAACGGTGAAATAACTAGCTCGGAAGGGAAAGCGATGGAATAGGAATAAAGAAAAGCTAATTCGCAGAATCTGCAAAAGTTAAGAGCTCCCAGGGAATGGTGGGGACCGGCTCCCGGGGATTTTGCTCATTTTGCAGTTTTTGAGTGGCGAAAATGTTTGACCTGGTGGGTTTTGAATGACAGCAGTCATTTAGTCGAAATGCTGCCTCACTATAGCCCGGCTGAAGAGATGGAAGAGTAAATAGACCAGTGCCCTTAATCTGACACGGAGAACGCTAGCGATTTGACAAGGCTGCCACCTCACTGGCGGCTGGCGAACACAGTTTGAGCTTCACACCATGTGCGTTGTCGATATCATATAAGAATCAGCCTTCTCCAACATCGACCACTTAAGGCCTTTCTGATTACACTTTTAAGCTCTAGTCTTCTGGGAACTTTCTGTGAACTCGTGCTCCCATTACGAAGAGAGTGCAGATAATCCAAGGAGTGTCTTGCCCAAGCCTTGAGTTGAATGGGCTTCTGTTTTGCAGCGGCGACACATCTAACCTCCATTCATAAAGGACAGAACTGAACGCCCTATCATAAAAAAAGCGCCAAGCTTCACCACTTTGACATTTTTAACTCACCACTCTCCGAGTGAGAGAGCGATGTTAGATGACAGTGCAAAGTGCAAGATTGATCGCCTTATGGATGAATCTCATCGTATGGCATGACCTATCTCACTCACTCACTCCCATGCATCTATTTGAAGGCGGTATAAGGATGCAAATGAGGAAAAATAAATGAACGCGACAATTGAGCTGTTTTCAAGAAAGTTCATTCATAGTGTTAAGAGTAAACGAAGTCATGCAGCTTTTTTTAAAACGGTCTTTTGCATGATATAGAGGCACATGCGGGAACCACAGAACCATGGTTAATTTTTCCTGAACGGCCCTCTGAACTACAGAAAAAGGGGGTCCCTAGTCACACCTTTTTCACCAGTTTTTCAATCAAAGTCTATTTGTAAGGGTTACTGACGTTCCTAATCATGAATTTGGTACTAATTATTCATGCTAACTCCATTTTGCGCGAATTTTGGAAACGTCACGAAATGCAAAAACTTGTCACCACGAGGAATCGAACTAGGGACCCCTTTTCTGGTATTCAGAGAGCCGTTCAGGAAAAATGAACCATGCTTCTGTGGTCCCCATATGTGCCCCAATGTCATGCAAGAAACCATTTTGAAAAAGCTTGGCACACCCTGAACGACCTCCCTTGTCAGAAAGATTGAATGATGTGCTTTATAATTCACTTTAATAACTTTCTAGTGATCTGGGAACCATTTCTTTTAGGATAGAAAATTGACAGAAGGCTTAACCACAAGATTAACTGAAGTCTTTCCCAACAGTCACCTCTACTTAGAGAAAAAACATTCTGTTTTGAAAAGGGATTTGCTTAAATTCTGCAGAAATGAGAAGGGCAAGTGCAATTCTTCCTGAAAGAGTTGCTCGTGACCACAAGGGCCTATGACATGCCAATGTGCCGTGGAATACCCGAAACTGAGTAACTTCTATGGAACTGGGATCTCTGCCAACGCCAGGTTTGGTTAGCTAAGATGACTAAACTTTGCGCAAGGAATTTTTCTGCCATCATTCGGCAGCAGCCAATTTTTACAAGCGCATGAGACCTCTTTTCCTTGAATAATTAATTACAGAATTCGAAATATTCACCTACAAACCACAAAAACCAAAAACAAAAGATATTTTGATGAGCAACAAACGGTTGGTCGGAAATCCGGTAAGGACACACTTAAAACCGAAAAAAAGAAATATAAGTGAAATGGAAACGAATGATGAAATATCAAATGCTTAATAAACTGGAAAGATCAGTAACTTACGTTCCACTCAGATCGTCCGTTGATACGTCGTCGAAATTTTCAGAAATGCCACTGGAGATCGACGAACTATCCTCGAAGCTGAAATGCACATAGAATGACGTAGAGAAGTGGGCGTGGCGGGGGTGAGGTCGGGCTAGAGCTACTACCACATTTGAGTGACAGTTGAGGGCAGAACCACCAGCTCGAGCACAGCATTGCCTCTTTCTGTTCTACATTAACTAATTGCCTAATGCCATGCTTCTGTGACAAGTACATGATCGATTGCGCACAGGTCAGAAAGGAAGTTCTCCAGGCGCAGCGGCATGAGTGATTACTAGGGAAATTGATCATCCGTGAAGGACATTGCGTGTAGGTAGCAGTTTGCAGAAAGCGTTCAGAAGGGAACAGGAAGCAGTGAGACTTGGTCCAGTAGGCGGCCGATTCTGACGACTTTGTGGATTAACTCTGGCGCGATAAAGGAACGGGATCATGGCGAATGGCGCTGACGCTGAATGGAACAATAGGATTATAGACGGACCAAATAAAGCGAGGAATCAAAACGAAATCCTGCTCCACTTGACCGAATGGGTCCAACTGAAGACTTGCTCATAGCGGCTCTAAAAACTCGATGACCCACGAGGTAACGTTGATTCTCATTGGCCTAAAATACACAGAAGAAAGTGGTAATTTGATGCCTTTGGGGGAGCTTTGGCTTTTGTGTCTAGAGAGCTCTGAGCTGAGACAATGCGGAATCGTAAACCGGTTTCAAATTGCCCAAGGTTCCAGAAAAAAAGGAAGCTACAGAAGTCGGTGAATAGAGTTGGCAATGGCACTAGTAGTACGACTGGACGGCTAGCGCGCGATTAATAACAAGAAATCTCAAGCACACTCAAAAGCTCTCAAACTCTAAGAGCACTCACTAGAGTTGGCAACGAAGGGGTGGTCTGGCTCTAATACTGAATCAAAGTGGGCGAGCAATTCAGAAATTCAACCGGCCATCGGACGCATCCAGATGGGGATCTGCAGGGCACACCGAACTAAACCACCACTTACCTCGGATACGAGTGAAACCACGCGCTTTTCATCCCGTTTGTCTTTGTTATTGAACAGAATCATAATTTAGGCGAGCTTCCATGAAAACTTGGCTACGGTTAAAAGAATATTTGGTGCTTGAACTTTTGAAGACCAAGCAGATGGCCTATGAGCCACCCTGCGCCCAGGCGGATGAGTAGAAATTTATCAACAAATAACGGGTTTAAGGCAGATTTTACGATGAAGTAGTCCGTTGGGAATTAAGTTAGGGATAGATAGTGATTCAAAAAGAGGAAATAATCAAGGAAAACAGCCTAAAACACCAGAATAGGACCCCATCCTCATTTGTTGGTTTCCGAATTGATGCGCCTATCACAGACGCTGCCTTCTTCAACGCTAACGCTCTCTCTGCCAAATGGCTAAAGGCTCAGCCAACGAGGGGGCATACCGCGCCAATAGCGCGCCAGTAGCGCGGCGCGTATAAGGCAATACTAGATCGCCTACTGTCCTTTGACGAGAATTGCGTATCGGTCCTCACCCGAGGTCCGCCTCTCTCTCTTCTCTAGGTGGGTTTCCCCCTCTTCGACCGCCGTCCTCAACGTGGAATCCTCCTAAATAAAATTTCTGTAAGGCCCGAGGTCGCATCCTTAGCAGTTGGTCTCACGGACATAATGAAGGACCAATGCCACCAGCGTCTTTCGATTCCCAATCGCAATAAAGTTTGGAGTGAATATTCGACTTGCAGTGGACATTTTGTACAAATCAATCATGTATTTATACATATGGGCTTTGAAGAGGTTATAGCGAAGCTTTGTGCGCACGCTCAATTCAATTTTGAATACGAAATAAACTACATATGTGACATCGACCTTTTTACCGCATGCATTACGTCTTATATCTACGCCCAAGTCGTCTACGATCTACGATATCTATCTACGTCTACGATTGGAGAGCGATGGAGAAGCAAAAAGAAGTGCATGCATATGTTTAGACACACCCTTGAGTTGCCCGAGACCTGACGGTGGTGAGGGGTTCTAGTGAGAACAGCTACCGAATCACGGTCTGCCGTGGGTATCCCGAGCACTATAACCACAATAAGGTCAAGAGTGCTTACACACCAATAACAAGGGTCAAAGCCGCCGTACAAGGTCGGCTCCTGGTGGTCGGCTGCTAGCCGAACAATCAACTATTACCAACTTATTCTCTTCAAAGTTGCTGAGCGCATCTCGAAAAACGGAAACTGAGATGCCAGTAGGAAGAAGGTTTTGCCAGGGACAGAATTTTCCGGGTGCACTGGAAACTGAGCACCTCAAGAAAAGAAAAACAGTTCGATTTCTAGAAAGAAGAGCGAAAGAGATCCAAGTTCTTCAGAGCGACCAGTGTCTGAAATCACCAACAAAGCTCCAATATATTCCCATATGCATGAGGTACGTCGTCGTCTCTGGCCGGCCGCCGCAATCCGGTTAGACGGCACCCGTTTTGTCCACTTTTCTGGGTGGCACGGATCCACTAAAGAGTGTATTCACGGCACGCGATCATCGCTCGGAGCAACTTCTTGAATGGACGATTACGCAGGCTGGTTGGACTACACCATCTATGACGGCTACCAGGCTCTCGTGGATTGAGGATTTCGAAGAGGAGCTGCTAAGGAACTATTTTCGCAGGAATGTGTTGGAGCTCTTGAAACTTCACAATTCAAGTCGCAAACCGATCTCGTCAAATTTCCATGCACATTGGACTGACTCTCTAATCTCTGACCATGACAGAATGCGATCGCTTCCTCGTCGTGGGGCAAATTGAGACGACTAATCCGCTAGATAACACCATCTGTACATAGTAGCCGCTGTGGATCAAAGGAAGCCGAGAACCCGCGGCACATAATGGCAGTGGAGGATGGTGGGCTAATCGACTGACAATTGACATATAATTAAGATCATTGGGGTTTGAGGTGAAATAATTTTTTATTTGAAATAAAAGCAAAAAATGTTCAGCACGACCTTTGGTCCTTAACCAAGTGATTGAAACTATTTCACGAATAAGCACTTGGTGGTGCGGAAGCTAATAAGGAGGGCCATTAGAACTGTCTCGACTTTGCGGTTGTGTGGTGTTGAAGCGAACTTTCTAGCTCACGTTTGTTCTGGCCGAATAAAGGACTTATCGCCAATAGGTTGCGCAATCAGACGGTCCTAATGCGGGGGAAGATATTACCAATGGAAGAATTTCTCTCAGTAGAGCACCAAGAAAGAACTGGTACTGAGGGGATCGATGAAGCCATACACTATACGTATAATTGTTAGTCGTTGAAGAAAACGAGCTGCTCTGAGCAGATCCGTTC